CGGTTGCGGCCGGGACGAGGCGAAAATGGAGCGGGGAGCGAGAGAGAGACACGCGGGGGGGGCTCGGCTTCGCTTAAAAAGAAGCCGAGGCGCGGGGCGCCGCCTGGCGTGATTCTGGGGCGGCACAGGCGGGTTCGTTGGTGACATGGCTTCAATGTTGGGGGGGCTTGTTGGGCAGAGGGGACGGGGGACGGTAATTTGGTGTGAGGAGGCAATGTAGTGTGATCTTGGAAGCAGTGATTTGGTGTCTGGGCTTGTGTGTTGTCTGGTCGGGCGCAAGAAAGCGCAGGGATTCTTTGGGTCAACAAGGGGCTATTCTTTGAACCCTGGTGAGTGGGTTGGAAAAGGGGCCAAAAAAGGGGCCAAGTGAAGTGGGGAGGCGAAGTCTTTGGGCAGGGAAAAAAAAAAAAAAGAGGGGCCAGCGGGCCGAATGTGAGGAAGGGGAGGAGATGGAAGGAAATTTTCCTTTTACTTTTTATAAATAAAATTTTCAAACTCATTTTCAAAAGGGTTTTTAAAATCTTTTAGCATTTGAACAAAACCACCCGTCACAGAAATAAATATGCAATAGCATGAATGCATCAACATGTTTCTATTCTTGTATTTTCTTTTAATTTCATAAAAGAAATATTATTTCCTAAATTTGAAATGCACATATAATTGCATATTTAAATCAAATTTACTATTTTAAAAAGAATTCAAATTTTAGGGTGTTACAATCAGCTTCAAAATAATACAGGGGATTTGTCAGGGTTTACAGTTCTTACATGAATTGCAAAGACCCATAATTCACATGGATCTCAAACCTGGAAATATATTGTTGGATGATAATTTAATGCCCAAAATTGCTGATTTTGGTTTGTCAAGGCTCTTTGGTGAAGAGCAAACACGTACACTCACTTTAAATGTTGTGGGACCAAGGTAAGCTTGACGAAAATTTGTGAATAATTCTCTGTTTGTTCATGATCAACCGGATTATACTGCATGTACCGCTTCCAATGACTTTCATGTAATGCAGAGGATACCTGGCTCCAGAGTATTACTACAGAGGTGAAGTCTCAGCCAAATCAGATATATATAGTCTGGGTATCCTTATAATCGAGATAGTAACAGGGTTAAAAGTCGATTCTAACACTGAAGACTTGTCATCTAAGAACCTTATCGACAATGTAAGTCTAACATATTTTGATTTTTTATCCTTAACCTTAAGAATGTTGTTCGGACAAATAGAGGTAGTGAACCGTACTTTGAATGGTGTAACTGATGCTCTTTAATGAAACTTTGCAATTATAGGTACAAAAAACTTGGACAAAAATGCCGCAGATAGCTTCTAAGTATCCAACGGTGGAAGCGAGCAGCCTCCAACAAGTTAAAAGGTGCATTGATGATGGGCTAAATTGTGTCAGCGAAAATCCAAAAGAAAGGCCTTCCATAGGGAAAATTATGGAGCAACTAGTGGAAATGGCTTTCCATCCAGCAGCTAGATCTTGATACTTGAACTGAAAAAAATTCCTAGGAAGCAACAGTGAAGGGGGCCAGATAGAAAAGACTTCATGTCTACACTCCCTCTCTCAGTTCAGGCCTATGATCAGTTTCAGCAACTCATTTTCATTCTGGATGACACTCAACTTCTTCAAGGCAAGGATCAATGGTCTTACATCTGGGGTTCCACTGAGTTTGCATCAAACAAAGCTTATCTGCATCTGATGGGCACCAGGCAAATATCACCGGTTTATACATGGCTTTGAAATTCCTATTGCCAGCCAAAGCAGAAAGTTTTCTTTTGGCTAGTTTTAAAAGATAGACTTAGTACCCAAACTTCTGAAAAGGAAAACTATGGTGTTGGAAAATTACAACTGTGTGCTGTGTCATTTGGACACTGAAGAGTCTTTGCATCACTTGTTCCTGCATTGCCCTTTTGCTATGTCGTGCTGGAATGTGTTGGGTTTGGCACATTTAATACAAGGGGACATTCTGGACACGATCTCCTTGTTCAAGACTCAAATTCAGAGGCCAATATTTATGGAGATAATAGTAGCAATGTTCTGGGCAATTTGGTCTACTAGAAATGATGTCATTTTCTTTTTTTTTGGGGAACGAAATGATGTCATTTTCAGAAATCTCCAGCAATCAGTGATCTCTTGCAAAGTCACCTGTAGACAAGAATTAGCTTGAGTTAAGCTTAGAGCTAAGGAGGAGTACAAACAACTGATAGACCTATGGCTAGACAGCTTTGTGTAATTGAGATAGTAACAGGGTTAAAAGTCTGGGTATCCTTATAATTCAAATAGTAATAACAGGGTTAAAAGTTGATTCTAACACTGAAGCTTTATCGTCTAAGAACCTTATCGACAGTGTAAGTCCAACATATTTTGAATTTTTATCCTTAAGAATGTTGCTCTGACAAATAGAGGTACTGAACCGTACTTTGAATAGTGTAATTTATGCTCTTTAATGAAACTTTGCAATTACAGGTACAAAAAAACCTGGACAAAAACACCACAGATAGCTTTGAAGTACCCAACGTTGGAAGCAAGCAGCCTCCAACAAGTTAAAAGTTGCATTGATGTCGGTCTAAATTTTGTCGGCGAAAATCCAAAAGAAAGGCCTTCCATAGGGCAAATTATCAAGCAGCTTTCCATCTAGCAGCTAGATGCCTAGATCTTGATGCTTGGACTGAAACAAATTCCTAGGAAGCAATAGTGGAGGGGAGCAAATAGAAAAGGCTCTGCAAGTCTCAAATATTACAGGCATCCAATGCTTTACAAATTATTACACGTAGCAACTGATCCTCTCTTGTGCGCTTTCTTTTGAAGAGTCCGCGTGGAGATAAGAAATGAACAGCTTTTGCTGCTACCGCTCAGCGGTTGGAACTTGGAAGCGGAGAGTAAAAAATGCTGAACGTGTAAATAGAAGGAGCAGATGTCATCCCGGATTTGTTCTTGGTACCAAATAGGGGTCGACAGGGTAAATCAGTGTAAATTTCTTGTGACATAGTACAGGTTGAGAGACGACTTCCGTTCTGGCTAGATGTGTACCTGTTGAAAGATCAGTTGTATGCATTTAGTCATCAATCAACGGCAAAATATGTAGTACTATTAGTATATAAATGGACCTGTTTAGAAAGAGAGTCGACCAATCAAGTAAAGAACAGTTAGCTCCATTGGCTACTACGCTAATAATTTAATATAAATAGATAATGGTCCGCTCTCATCCAACACACAACCGGACGCGGTTATGACCACTGACAACATGCATGGGTTTTGGTTTTGGAATTACTCGGCAATTTCTGCAATATTACAAGAGTGGTTCTCTGTCACAGTCTCATAGTTGGTGGCACCGCGTAAGGCCATTGACGACGACTGCAGCTTGGGGTCGAGTCAAGTCAACGTCTCATGGCGCCTCTCAGACACGACGTACACGATGGATGCTTTGGTCCGGAGCTTGTCATTGCCTACTTTTTATCTGACTCCTCTTACTGTCCCAAACATCGACCAGGCAGCAGATCCGCGCTCTCCCACTCCAGTGTCCATCCCCTCCCTCCTCCACCCACCAATCTCTGGAGCTTTACCACTACGGGCTCCGGCGGCTCGGCCTACAGGAGACCAGCAAGTGCGACGGCCCCGCGCTCAGCTGACCGCAGCTTCATCCAAGGTGAGCACACCCCGTTCATCTGATCTCCTCCAAATTGGTGTGAGTTGCTTGATTTGTTTGGGTAGAAACTTTCTGCCAATTTCAGTTTTTGCCTTCGGGTTAAATACATCAGATTGCGAAGCTTAGTAAGTTTTCTTTTTTTTTTCTTTCTTGTATGTACAACTTGCTATATGTTTGACATGGGTTGGGCTCGGACATACAGTAAGCTAGCAAGGTACACAGAAATCAACTAATTACATGTTTTGTTTTACTTTGTTAGTGAGATAGCTAATGTATGTGGCAATGTACATTTTAAGGTACGGTGCTCCATTATGTTTTGGAATCCCTGCTTCCGCTCCAACTATTAATTTTTTTTTTTTTTGCTAACTTGCCTCATGTGAATTAATGTTGAGCCTTGGTGCTTCTAAAAAAGAATTAATGTGGAGCCTCTTTTGGGTCCTCCATTATGTAATAGTAAGATTACTATTAACTTAGTGGATGGAAACATATTATTTACATCCAGGTACAAGAAATATATCTTTTGATATGATAGATAGCTTGTGAAAGAATATCTTACATGCTAATCCATGCTCTGATAATTGTGTGGAGTCCAAAATGTAACAAAATATTAAAGTTTAGTTCTAAATTTTGAATTGGTATATGCATTTTAATATACATGCATGTTTTTAATGGAGACTTCAGTCAGTTGAGATGCCAAATCCTAGTTGGACTAGGTAGAAGATATTCGATACTCTGTACATTATCTTCTGTGCTATGCATACAAAATTGTGTTTTGTACATATACTTCTACTTTGGATTTTTGAAATTTTTAAATTCGTTGCATATACCATGAAATAAATGGCTCAGCATTTTGCATGCATGTTGAGGACTGCCTTATATTGAATTTAGAGAGTGATGTGGCCTCTACATTAGTGGAGAGCGAGAATGGTGGATTTGGAGAATAGAAAAGATGGAGTGGATTAGAGTTTATTGGAGCCTGATTTTTTGGTTTATTTTATAAATTTTGTAATAGTGAACCATGTAGAGAGCCTCTTGGAGATGCTTTTAGGAAAGAATTACATCTGTGCTCTTTATAAGAAAGGAATAGCATCTGCACTAAAATTTATTTTTTACCCTATGCATTAATTGGAACACGACAAAACATATTGTACATTGTTCAAAACAAGCCATTAGTAATCAATGGGGGCTGTTATCTATTATTGAATCTATAATCTATTAAGAACGGTTGATATTGTGTGCTTTTTGTTAACATGTGCGGACAGGTCTGAAACATCTAAGTAAAATAGATTGCGTACATTATCTTGAACTAATCAAGCTCCATGCTTTGATTGTGCAGAACTGAACTAATGGCAGAAGCACTGCTAACTGCTCTCTCGAAAATTGGTACCGTTTTAGGAGATGAAGTCATCAAATTCGTCATCGCTGAAGCATCTAAAAAGGCAACTAATCTGAGGGAGCTACCAGAAAATATAAGGCACATTGAGAGAGAATTGAATATGATGAGAAATGTAATACAAGATTTGGATACCACAAATCTCAGCATCAATGTGGTCAAGGGATGGATTGGGGAGCTGAGAAAGGTGGCCTTCCATGTGGAAGATGTAATGGATAAATACTCATATCACGCTTTTAAGCTGCAGGAAGAAGGATCGCTGATGTGGTTCATCAAAGGAGCACAAAATGCCAAAATTTTCAGTGATATTGCTGATGAGGTGGTTCGTATAAAGGGTGAGATTGAGCAAGTAAAACAACTGCAGAAGGACTATTTCCCTGCTCTCCAAGTTCCAGCAAGCCCTGTAATTGTTCGACATGGATCCCAAACCTTCTTGCCAGAGCTTATTCAAGATGAAGATCTCGTGGGGATTGCATTGAATCAGGCAAAGTTGATTGGATGGCTTCATAGCAATGAGCCAAACAACAAAGTGATAACGGTGTCGGGTATGGGTGGATTGGGAAAGACCACTCTGGTCATGAATGTTTATGAGCGTATGAAGAGCGAGTTCCCTGTCAATGCCCGGATCACTGTGTCACAGACCTACACAATAGTTGGTTTGCTGAGAGAACTACTCAGAGAGATTGGGAAGGACACATATAAGCCATCAGATAGCATCGAAAGTATGGATGCCTACAAGCTGAGAGAAGAAATTAAGAATGTCCTAGGTACCAGAAAATGTTTGTTTGTCTTGGATGATGTTTGGAACATGGAAGTGTACCATCAAATGATGGAAGACATTTTCAATACTCTTCGAGCAAGCTGTGTCATCATCACAACACGGAGAGAAGACGTTGCATCTCTTGCATCTTCAGGATGCCATCTTCAGCTCCAGCCTTTGGGACGTTCCCATGCACTCGAGCTCTTCTGTAGAAGAGCCTTTAAAAACACGGCTGAGTGTCCCCAAGAGCTTGAGGATGTGGCTGCTTCCATAGTAGAAAGGTGTAAGGGCTTGCCATTGGCACTTATATCTATGGGCAGCCTCATGTCCTCCAAGAAACCAACTAAACATGCCTGGAATCAAATGTACAATCAGTTCCGGGTTGAGCTAGCTAAACCAGACAATGTGCAGGCAATTTTGAAGCTTAGCTACAATGATTTACCAGGGAACCTCAGAAATTGTTTCCTATACTGCAGCCTATTTCCAGAAGATTGCATCATGTCGAGAGAGAGCCTTGTCAGGCAGTGGGTTGCTGAAGGATTTGCAGTGACCAACGAAAACAACACACTGGAGGATGTGGCTGAACTAATTCTGGTGGAGCTCATTACTAGGAATTTGCTGCAAGTTGAAGAGTATGATGAGCTTGGTAGGGTGAACACATGTAAGATGCATGACATTGTGCGTGACCTGGCTCTTTCAATAGCTAGAGATGAAAAGTTTGGCTCTGCGAGCGATCAGGCTGCAGTGATAAATATGGACTGGGAAGTGCGCCGACTATCATTGTGTGGATGGAATGGAAGTGATGCACCAAGAGTGAAATTTCCACACCTTCGCACTGTATTTTCACTTGATGGTGTTACATCCGCTCACATGCTAGCCTCAATCTTTTCTGAGTCAAGCTACCTTACTGTTCTTGAGCTACAAGATTCTGGGATAACCGAAGTGCCACAATCTATAGGGAATCTGTTTAATCTATGTTACATTGGCTTGCGGCGCACAGGAGTCAAGTCGCTCCCAGAGTGTATTGAGAAGCTATCCAACCTACAGACACTGGACATCAAGCAAACAAAAATAGAGAAGCTACCAAGAGGCATAGTCAAGGTCAAGAAGCTGAGGCATCTGTTAGCTGACAGAGTGGTGGATGAGAAGCAGAAAGATTTCCGGTACTTCACAGGGGTACAGCCACCCAAGGACCTCTCTAACTTGGTGGAACTTCAAACTCTGGAGACTGTGGAAGCAACAAATGACTTGGCAGGCCAATTGGACAACCTCAGAAAACTAAAAAGCGTGTGGGTTTGCAAAGTTACTGCCATCCATTCTGCAGATCTTTTTCCTGCAGTATCTAAGCTGCCACTTCTTGCCTGTTTGCTTCTTAATGCAAGTGATGAGGACCAGACACTGCACTTGGAAACTCTCAACCCACAGTCCAAGCAGTTCCACAGGTTGATCGTCAGGGGCCGCTGGGCTGCCGGAACACTGCAGTGCCCAATATTTCAAGGCCATGGGAAAAACCTCAAGTATCTAGCTCTAAGCTGGTCTGGTCTTCAGGAAGACCCGCTACTGCTTATTGCTCCACATGTACCAAACCTCACCTATCTGAGTCTTAACAGGGTGAGCAGCACAGAGACAATGGTTATTTCTGAAGGGTCCTTTCCACAGCTAAAGACACTAATACTGAAGAACATGCTCAATGTCAAGCAGTTGACAGTTGGGAAGGATGCTCTTCCAAATATTGAAGGTTTATATATTGTGGCGCTGCCGAAACTGAATAAGGTTCCTCAAGGATTTGAATCCCTTGTGTCTTTAAGGAAGCTGTGGTTACTGTCTCTGCATAAGGATTTCAAAATCCTGTGGGAGCTAAGTAGAATGCGCCAGAAGATGCCAGAAGTGGTGGAGGTTCGCGTCGAGTGATCGCCTGCTTCTTCATACCCATAATACTTCTGATTATTTATGCATATAGTCCTTTGTGTTTGATTCTTCCAGTAGATCTGCAATTCTGAATGCTTTTGTGCTTGTGTTTTTACTTTCAATAAGTCCGGAAGAAACAGATCTCCTCACCAAGAATGTGCCTGATAGTTGTGTGTATGCCATGTTATTGTGGTTTCTTTGTAGTTTGATTTTCCTTTTTTATGTACGAACCTTGTCATTGAACTGGATTTGACAATAACGTTTTTTCTGTCACCATCTTGCTGCCATGTTCAGTTCTGAAGTAATAAGGTCTCATGATTTTTATTTCCTATATGACATCTGACTATCTTAGGCAAGCCAGATTTCTTCATAGTGAACGGGTGACGATTCAAGAACAGACCTATCATTGGGGTTCTCATAATAAGGCTTGTTTCTCCGAGGGCACTGGGCTGTAATGCCCAAGATTTCATGGCCTTGGGAAACATCTCAAATACAGGCTTGGTACCGCCCGGACGTCCGGACGCCTGTGCTTGCAGTCCTTTTCTCACGTAGTTTCGCGTGCCCACATGAGGCCCGCGCCGCCCCAAACCTCACCAGCATCGATAAGAGAGGGAGAAGGCGGCGGGTGCCCAGTCGGCGCCGAGAGGAGGAGGAGACACCGAGGCGAGGCAGCAGAAGACGAGGAGGGAGATGCAACACCCGGTCTACTTTTAAAACATTCACTTGCAACATACGTTTGAAGCCAGATGAAATACTTGAAACATGCATCTGAAACACTTGAAAAAACACATAAAAAACAATTGAAACCATTGCAAAAGCATACGCAACATCTAGATAAAACACTTATAAAAACATATTTCAAAACATATGCAACATCCAGACAAACACACTTGCAACATACGCCAAAAAAATAGATGAAACATTGGGAATAAAAGCTTGCAACATATGGGCACAACCATTGCAACATATGTAATATCTCGATCTACTTTTGCAATAGAGCACCTGAGTCGAGCAGGCCTGGGTTCGACTCCCCGTGGGAGCCAATTAAACAAGTCTAGAATAAAAAAATATAAAAAATAGGTTGGGGTTTGCCCTACTGACTTGGGTCGAAACAAAATATCTGCAACACTTGTGTGCTTTCAAGATGCTATGGAGTGGTGCAAAGGTCACCAGTGTAAACCTCGTCGGTGGCACGGACATCAGCAGGGACCGCGGGAGACACGAGTCCAGGGGGCGCGCAGAGCAAGTGGCAACCCACTCCGACTGCTTGTGCCACACGTGCCAAACCTCACCTTCCTAATCTTAAACAAAGTCAGCACTGCAGACTCACGACCTTCACACTTGCACGATATCTCCCTGTTTATCTTTTTATATATATTATTATTTTGTCTTTTTATATATATTATTATTTTATAATCTTGTATTAAATATTCTGGCTACCTGATGAACTCAAATGAAAATAATTTTAACTACAAAGTTTTAAATCTTATCAAACATTATAACTTTGATATAAGATGTGCCTCCATACGAGATTGTTTGAAAATTTCAAAAATTAATCTCAAAACTATAAATATAAAATGTATATTTAAGACTCTAAAATACTTGAATAAAATACTTATCTACAACAAACTTGTAGATTGGGTCCGCCCGATTATCAATGTGAACATTCAAGGTGGTTTCATAATTCTAAATTTTGAATTTCAAAATCTAAAAACTTAAAACACATATTTGGGACTCTAAACAACTTCAAATAAAAACCTTTTCAACTAGTAAATTGTATATTGTATTGACAATACATCTTTAGTGTAGAGCATGTCAACATCAGAGATTATTTGAAAATTTTAAATTTCAAATATCAAAATCCATGGACTTAAAACAATATTTTGGGAAACTATAAAGTTTCAAATCAAAATCTTCTCAAATTCAAACTTGTAGGTTGTGTCAAGAGTTACAACTTTTTTTGATATAAGGTTCGTCTTCATTTGATTTCATATGAAAAGGTTATAGTTTATTCTTGATGCAACTATTTGAGAGATGGATCTCTTAAGACCTGTTAATAGCGATCTTTAGAGATGGACATCTTAAAGATACCCACCTCTTTTAACCAATTTACAAAGGTGGACAGCATAAAGTAACTGTCTTATTGTAAATTACTAATGATTAACAGAGGCAAACGCCTTAGGATGCGCGCCTTTATAAATGATTAACAGAGACAAGTGTTTGCCTGGAGGCCGCTTGACCATTTATAGGGGCAGTCCCTAGATATGCTCGCATCTGTTAATCAGAGAGGTTGTCTTCTAAAATCATTTTGCTAGTAGTGAAGATTTGTTGTAACAAATGAAGCAATAGTTAGTTATGATTGACAAATTCATCCACAAATATCAAATCATTGACTACGAGCGTTTTGGATCTATTAGTTCCTGGACTAAACTTTAGTCCCTACCCTATTTGGATGGAGTGGCTAATGGCCATTGAAGCTACTATACAAAGACCAAAATGCCCCTAATTCACACAATATTCTCGAGGGAGTCCAACTCCTCCTTCGCCACCGCTGGACCTGGAGTGCGGGCCCGCTCTTGCCCATGGCAACGCATCGACCTTCGCGATGTCGGGGAACACTGGGAGGGGAGCCCCGCACACGCTTGTTGTAGTCCGCATCGCCGAGGGCAGCCACGCTGCGCCCTGGGCCGCGAGTGCATTAATGAGGGGCAGGGGTGTCTTTTTTGCTGGTTTAGTCCCTTTTAATCACCTCAAAAGACTAATGGACTAATTGGTTTAGTCACACTGTTTGGGTCTTTAGGGGCTAAAAGCGACTAAATGGGGTCACCCCATCCAAACAGGCCCTACGTATCCATACATGGCAAATGTATATTTGTCATATAATGTAGTTCCCCTAGACATATATATTAAATCAGAGCTTATTTGATACCATATGAAGTAGTCTTACTGGATTTTTATTGTTACCATGAAGTTAGGCATGATGTTAGAGATACATTAATTTCCTTGGCATTAGTGGTGCAAGTATGTGTTCGACGGTAGCATAGACGCCTATACTGAAAGAAACTAGGTAGTAATAGTACTTGCAAGACTGCTTATATAGTTATAATTTTAGATGTGTCATGTCTGGTAAATTTGACTAACACATGCGCGAGCTATTGCACACAAGCTCATAACATGATATTTATTAAGATTTCCCCAAGGATTTTGTCGAAATGGCCGAGGCGCGAGGGCTTGTTCTTCTTTACTTTTTGTTTTCCGGGTGAGTGAAGCTGTTTCCGGGTGATCTTGAGCAACAAAAGCTTGTGAACGCTCCACTCGAGAAATGCAGTTTATTCCTCTTTGACTTGGCTTTTGACTCGATCTGGCCTATTTATCACCTGTATTTTGACATTTAAGGTTACGTTCGCTTGAGCTTATTAGGCAGAATCAACCAGCCAGAAAATAGTGTTTTTCTCTCATAATAAATCAGTCATACAAATGAGTCGGAACCAAAATAAGTCCTGCCGAACAGAGCCTAAGCACATTTCCAGTAGCCATGTTAGTTTGAGAGAGTGACCATGGTTCGAAACTGTGTCCAATACAGTCACGGTCCGAAACTGTCTAGAACGAACACGGAAGTGTGCATAGTTGTTTGTTTCCAATCCGAAAAGGGTCACCAAGTCAGTGTCGCCGAGTTCCATAATTGAATCGTCAGCTTTTGACTAAGGCCCTGTTTGGTAGAGCTTCTTCATCAACTTCCGAAGCCATTTGGAGCTGTTTTCTGCCAAACGTGATAAAATGAAATTATTCCTTTGAAAGGCCCTAAAAACATGCTCTTACATAGCTTTGGAGTGGGAAGAAGAAAAAAAAAATGATGGTTTCACCTAACTTTACTAGTGAACTAGAGTCTTGCCAAACGGTGCCTAATTAAGCACCACAAAAGTGGATTCGATTAAGTTCTCATCAGCGTTCCATTGATCCGCGCTCTCATGTCAAGTCAAGATGCGTAGGCCACATCCGTGTGTGAACGGCACTAGCGTAGCGGCCACAGAGATTCTTTTCCTCGATCATCGGTGGGGCTCCCACTTTCCTCGTTGTTCCCGCGGCTGCATCGAATTAAAGTTTGCAGTAGTAGTGCAGATTGCAGAAAATCTCGGTGCTTTCTCCTCTTTTCCCTGTTCCCACTCATAAAGTTTGAAGCGACGCAGGGCAGAGCGCGCGCCCTTCTCAGCCTGTGTTATGTTCAGCGGTGTGTTCGCTGGTTGGTTTCTGGGTTGGTTTAGGCTGGCTGGTGCTGGTTTGTCGTGAGAGAAAAATATTGTTGGCTGGCTGGTTTGGGCTGGTTGAAATCAACAAGCGAACATGCTGCACATACCCAAGGTAATTAGTGGATAATATCCGTTGCAACTTGCATGGTCATTTCCAAGTATAAACTTTAGATTTAGTTAATAAAATAGTGTCACTTACTCCTTCGTTCTGTAATATTGTGCATTCTAAAATTTTTAAAACAACTTAAGGAAACTCTGAAATGATGTATATACTCATGGATTATTCTAATTAAGGAGTTTCTCTTCAAATTATGGTTTTCTTTTAACAATTTTTTTTGCCAAATCTAGACATAATCATTACATAGAATGTACTATATTTCAGTACAAATTTTAAAAGTCGTAATGCACTATAGTTCCACGGAGGAAGTATGTCCTATTATAAGATAGAAAAATGAGATAAGAGGTCAAGCGAATCTGAGCTATTGATTTTTCTAAATCGAAAGATTTTACAAGATAAAATACAACATTTAGGAATTATCTGTTCGCTCCTTAATGTGCCATCAACAAATGTTTTTTTTGAAAAACAAAAAAGAAAATGTTACATATGTATGATGCACCTCATATAATCGCTACAGCAAATAATCATGTTTGGGCCAAGGAAAGTCATATATAATTGAATGAAGTATACATGTTTCACATTTACATATGCCACGTTAAAAATAAAGAAATTTCATCCAACATGCACATTGAGATCCA